TAGATTTTCATGCACCCTCAGAGCTAAATTCCTTTATGGAAATCAATAGCCAAGAATTTCTACTGTGAAATAATGCAACACCATTATCAGATGGTTAAAGTAAGGAGCCCTGGTGACACAGTGGTTAAGTGTTTGGCTGCAAACTGGAAGATTGGTTGTTTAAAGCCACCAGTCACTTCATGGCAGAATGATGTACTTTGTCCTCTTCTTGTAAAGATTTATAGTCTTGGAAACTCTATCAGACAATCTACTCTATCCTACAGATCCCATAGATTCAGGATTACTCTTATTCTATAATAACATTTTCCTTTTTTAGGCTTCAAGGTACTGAAACTCTCTTTTTGTTTGTATTTTAGTCCTTCAAGTAACATTTTTCAAATGTCTAAAAACCATTATGCTAGAAATCTTTCCAGTGTCTCATACCACCATTAAAGATGTAAAATTATTACACTTCACAAACCATTGCTTGTACTACCAACAGTGGAATGAAAGTGAATAAACCACATAATAATTATTCTTTATTAAAATAAACAGTAAATAGAATATATAGCTAAGATTCTTTCTTTGTGGATATTAGCTAAGATAAAAATTTGTTCTAATGATATGTCATTAATGCAATACAGTAACTGTGAAATTCTATTGGGCATAATTTTTTTCCTAGTAGCTAGTCTTCCCTCTACTAAGCAAGATTCATTTTGTGTGTGAAAACATAAAGTAGAAAACCCATTTTAAATCAACAGATAATATTTTTCCTCTTCTCTTTTAACAGTTATAATGTATGTAGGAGATTCCAAATCACACACAAAATTTTGACAATACAAAAGTTGATTCTGCAGCCCAAGGCAAACTCTCAAAGAAGCCATATGCAATGTTGCAAAAAGCAGATGAAGATTTAACTTCCACTGCAGGCCCTTTTAAACTATGTCACCAGGATGAGAGTAATTTTCCTGACCTCATTCCCACCCCCACCCCAACCCCTACGACTCCCACACACAGATACAAGTAAAATTTTAAACATTTTACTCTTAAAATCCCCCATAAAAAGTTAATCAAAAGAATAATTCAAATATCTTTGCAAACAAAATACTTACTTTGACCACATAATTGAACCTTCGGATATCTTGAATTGCACTTGAAAAATCCAAGCGATTAAAAGCTTCTCCCAAAGTACAATAGCCATGCCTCTGTAAAATAAAGTACATAACAGCTAAACTTAGTCAAAGTAATTCACAGTGGAAGGAGCCTCTGCATGATTCAATGGTGAAAGCCTTTGGTTGCTATCCAAAAAGTTGGTAGTTTGAACCCAACAACTGTGTGGAGAGAGAAAGGTGTGGCAATCTCCTTCGGTGGTAAAGATTACAGTCTTGGAAACTCCATGATGCAGTTCTATTCTGTCCTATAGGGTAGGTATAGGTTGGAATTCATGAGCTTTTAACTGATTGTTCAATTATTCTATGCAATGTTTATTTTTTAATTTGACAAAAGGATTTGTTTTTATTCTGAAAATGCATTCCAGATTTGGATGACAATATAACAAAATTTATAGCAAAGTCAAATTTAAATTTTATGTATAATCAAGACATTATGAATGAATTTGCCATTTTTATACTACTGCCTATGTAGTATTATTGAGATGAATCTGGGGGCCCAGGTGGTGCAGTGGGCGACACACTGAGTTGCTAACCATGAGATCATCAATTCAAACACTTCCACAGCTCCACGGGAGAAAGATGCGGCTCTCTGCTCCCATATAGATTTAAAGTCTTAGAAATCCAAAAGGAGAGTTCTACTCTGTCCTACAAGGTTGCTATTAGTTGGAATCAACTTGAGGGCAGTGAGTTGTTTTTTGTGATTTTTAAAAAGAAGATGCATTTAAAAAAATAACAACAATAAAAACCCTACTGCCACATAGTGACCCTACAGGACACTATACACAGCATTTCGGAGTCTGTAATCTTTACAGAAATAGGAAGCCTCATTTTCCCCCTGCAGAGCAGCTACTGGGTTTAAACTATTGACCTTGTGAATTTCTTGAGGTGCCCTCATATATATTGAAAGATGTTAATGTACCTAGAATGGAGCCATTTATCTTTTCAATGTTAGAAGTTATGAATTACCACAGAGAATCTAGAAATTGAAAGGAACCTCAGTACTAAGAAATAAAATTACTTTATGCACTGAAAAAAAAAAACCAACTTTCAGATAGAGAAGACTAAAGAAAATGAATAAAGTTTTGTTACATAACTACTGATGATTTTTAGGCTGGAAACATGAAACCCCAAAACCAGGTAAGTCTTTAAACTAAAGGTCCAAAATTAAAGAAAACAATTAAAGTTGAGTATTTTTTTTTTCTTCAGTGATCTCAAATACTACTATATTGTTTGGGTTATTTTTCTTTAATGAGATATCTTATATACTGCATTTTAGTTTTCATGAGTCCTTTTAAATTCCATAATCTGTATTTGAAATACAGATTTCATTTCAGAGCTGTGGGAACATCTATTATAACAGCTATTTCAGAATAATACGCATTGATTTTTCAAAATAAATATATTTTTTGCTGATTTGTCAACATATTAAGGGTATTCTTGGGATTTGAAAAAAAGACTAAACCAGCCTTTATACTGCATCTGAGATTAAAATGTTACCACCAAGTTCCAGACCACCACAAATTCTGTTTGAAATTTGAGAAGTGATCTATTGCTTCAGGTTTTCTATTATTATTTTCTGATTTGTAATAGAAATAGCTGAAGAACTTAAAACCCCCAAACAAAACCCAATGAAGTGGTGCTGGAAACAGTGGATATCCACATGTAGAAAGATGAAACAGGATGTTTACCTCACCCCATGCACAAGAATAAGCTCAAAGTGGATTACAGACTTAGAAGTTAAACCCGAAACCATCAGGACCATCAAAGAGGGTATTGGGACTAACCTCAGAGCACTGGCCCAGGGAACCCATAGGCTCACTGCAATAGGGATGGTTACACACGCGGGTGAACTGGAAATCGACAAATGGGACTTAATGAGAATAAAGCA